ATAGTGCGACGGTAAGAGCTAACGATATACCAAATGTCTGATGCTTATCCAGAATATATAGAAGAATTTAGTATAGAAATAGCTGATTTCAATCCAATTGGTCCTACAGCCTATATACCTTTACCAGAAACTTTGCCGAAACGTAATGATAGAATTATTAATATTCAAAATAATGATGACTGGTGTTTTGGATGGTGTGTTCTAGGAGCTTTGCATCCAGTTAAAATTTATCCAGAAAGAAATCCGCATCGGCTATATGAAGGCTTTGTGGAGGAACTTAACATGGATGACATCCCAATTCCAATACCGATCTCAACACCAGTTTATAAAAAGTTTGAAGAAAATAACCCTGAAATCAGTCTATGTGTTTATGAATGGCACAACCAGAATGAGTGTCTTGAATTTCGCTATGTTTCAGAAAGAAGAGGGAATGAATATAAGCAAGTAAATCTTCTAGTAATTACAGAAGATGATAGAAGTCATTACTGCATTATTAAAGACCTTCACAAGTTAGTGTACAATCATAGCAAGCATAAAGGACGAAAATACATCTGCCGATATTGTCTTCATGTATATTCTACAGAAAAAAGATTTAAGGAGCATTTACCAAAATGCAAAGGTCTAAATGAGGCTCCGCAAAGGCCAAAAGTGCCAGGAAAAGATGAAAATGAAAAGTATTTTCGTAATTATAAATGCATGCAACCAAATCCATATCGTATTTTCTGGGATCTAGAAATGTTAACCGAAAAGTTAACTCCAGAAGAAAAAATGAAATTAACTAATACAGAAAGATTACAGATGCATAAACCGTGTGGATACTACTATATAATAGTTCGCATGGACAGTTCACTTAATTATGAGGTAGTAAGTTATGATCTATATAGAGGGTCAGATACCTTAGAAAAATTCGTTGAAAGAATCGAAGGAGAGCTTCTAAATATTCAAGAAGATTTATCTGCACCAGCTGAAATTATTATGGCACCTGGAGATCTTAAAGCATATAATGAATCAACTGAATGTTGGATTTGCAAAAAACCTTTTCT